CACAGAGGCCCACAGACTCACACAGAGATCCACAGACTCACACAGAGACCCATAGACTCACACAGAGGCCCACAGACTCACACAGAGACCCATAGACTCACACAGAGACCCATAGACTCGCACAGAGACACACAGACTCACACAGAGATCCACAGACTCACACAGAGACCCATATACTCACACAGAGACCCACAGACTCACATAGAGACCCATATACTCACATAGGGACCCATAGACTCACACAGAGACCCACAGACTCACATAGAGACCCATAAACTCACACAGAGACCATAGACTCACATAGAGACCCATAGACTCACACAGAGACCCATAGACTCACATAGAGACCCATAGACTCACACAGAGACCCACAGACTCACACAGAGACCCACAGACTCACACAGAGACCCACAGACTCACACAGAGACCCACAGACTCACACAGAGACCCATAGACTCACATAGAGACCCATAGACCCACACAGAGACCCATAGACCCACACAGAGACCCATAGACTCACATAGAGACCCATAGACTCACACAGAGACCCATAGACCCACACAGAGACCCATAGACTCACACAGAGACCCGTAGACTCACACAGAGACCCATAGACCCACACAGAGACCCATAGACTCACATAGAGACCCATAGACTCACACAGAGACCCATAGACCCACACAGAGACCCATAGACTCACACAGAGACCCATAGACTCACACAGCGACCCACAGACTCACACAGAGACCCATAGACTCACACAGAGACCCATAGACTCACACAGAGACCCATAGACTCACACAGAGACCCACAGACTCGCAGTTAATTTTGACATTCCTCCAAAGGTTTCGTTTTGTATTGTTATTATTAATAATGTCATTCTTTATTATTCTTTATTGTTATCTATTATTCTTTATTTTCCTTTTTAATCTTATTATTAATAATGTCATTCTTTATTAGTCTTTATTATTCTTTATTATTAATAATGTCATTCTTTATTATATCCGAGTCCAAGAGGATTGTCAGAAGACGCGACTGGACATTTGTGTAAAAGAGCTTTATAGCTCATCTGATTCCTTCTGCAATCTAGAGAAACATTCTCATTCTGACATCAACATGGCACCTGCAGTATTTTATTCTCCTGCTATAATATTTATATGAAAGAATAACAAAAAACCGTCAACATTTTTCAACGACATTTTGGCCTTAAAAGAATATATATAACATTTGACGTTTCGGGTAATGGCCCTTCAGCATAGCACGCAAGCTTATAGGGAAGTATATAGTTCATAGGGATTTGAGACTATACGCTTGTGTATTTTAAACACGTTCTGTATATAGCTACATATGCGAACGCGCATTCGCATTTGAATCTATGTACGCACAGTCCTGTACACACCGCATATGCAGAAATTAAGGTTGCCAATAAATCCAATTTCTCTTGCGAATTACCGATAACCGCTTGAAAACCGGTTACCGGTTTTTCCGATATTACCGCACAGACTGAAATGTCTGGCAACGAAACATCGCGGCTTTATCATTTTTAAACGAATGGCATGCTGGATATATATGGATGGGTCTCTGCGTGAGTCTGTGGATCTCTATACGAGTCTATGGGTCTCTATGTGAGTCTAAGGGTCTCTGTGTGAGTCTATGGGTCTCTGTGTGAGTCTGTGGGTCTCTGTGTGAGTCTATGGGTCTCTGTGTGAATCTATGGGCCTCTGTGTGAGTCTATGGGTCTCTGTGTGAGTCTATGGGCCTCTGTATGAGTCTGTGGGTCTCTGTGTGAGTCTGTGGGTCTCTGTGTGAGTCTGTGGGTCTCTGTGTGAGTCTATAGGTCTCTGTGCGAGTCTGTGGGTCTCTGTGTGAGTCTATGGGTCTCTGTGTGAGTCTATGGGTCTCTGTGTGAGTCTATGGGTCGTTGTGTGAGTCTGTGGATCTCTGTGCGAGTCTATGGGTCTCTGTGTGAGTCTGTGGGTCTCTGTGTGAGTCTGTGGGTCTCTGTGTGAGTCTATGGGTCTCTGCGTGAGTCTGTGGGTCTCTGTGTGAGTTTATGGGGCTCTGTGTGAGTCTATGTGTCTCTGTGTGAGTCTGTGGGTCTCTGTGTGAGTCTGTGGGTCTCTGTGTGAGTCTATGGGTCTCTGTGTGAGTCTGTGGGTCTCTGTGTGAGTCTATGGGTCTCTGTGTGAGTCTGTGGGTCTTTGTGTGAGTCTGTGGATCTCTGTGGGAGTCTATGGGTCTCTGTGTGAGTCTGTGGGTCTCTGTGTGAGTCTGTGGGTCTCTGTGTGAGTCTATGGGTCTCTGTGTGAGTATGTGGGTCTCTGTGTGAGTTTATGGGTTTCTGTGTGAGTCTATGTGTCTCTGTGTGAGTCTGTGGGTCTCTGTGTGAGTCTGTGGGTCTCTGTGTGAGTCTGTGGGTCTCTGTGTGAGTCTGTGTGTGAGTCTATGTGTCTCTGTGTGAGACTGTGGGTCTCTGTGTGAGTCTGTGGGTCTCTGTGTGAGTCTGTGGGTCTCTGTGTGAGTCTATGGGTCTCTATGCGAGTCTATGGGTCTCTGTGTGAGTGTACGGGTCTCAAAGTCTGTGGGTCTCTCTGTGAGCCATCGGTGAATGGGCTGAAACTATCAGCTCACTACCCTTGAGAACCCAGTTCGATGATGGTTCTGCAACTGCTACGCACCCATATTCAAATATGCTCAAAATGTCCCCCCCCCCCCAATATATTGCTATAAAATAGCTTTATGTTTATATGATTGTGGTTATGGTTGTACTTTATCAATCCCTAATCTCTGCCATTACATACAATGAAACAAGAAAAGGTAAAATAGAAAAAACAGAGCAATGTAAATACAATAACTATTAGACATTATTGTAACAAAAATAAATAAAAAGTACATCCTACGTGTTAGTGAAATATTTTAGGCAGCAAATGGCAGTAAATGAGTTTTAAAATTTAGATATTTTTTTGTGGGGGGGGGGACCCCCAGACCCCCTGCAAGATTTGATCCCCCCCCCGTCCCAATGTTGACTCCATCGCTACGGCCTTGCATCCACGCATCCGGCAGCGGCCAATGCGTACGGTCACAGCAAGTCGATTTGATCGGCGGGTGTTGTCGCGTGCGGCGGGGTAAAGTTTCGTGAGTGCGCTCGACTTCTCCCTCCCAGCACGCCCTAGGTGAGGCTCGGACGAGAGGGTGGGGGACGCCGGCGGTGGCGTGAGCGAGAAATTGCAGGGGCTGCGCTTTTGCTTTGCCGCTTTTTTTATTTTATTTTACATCTCAACTTGGAAAACGAAAATGTTTGGTGACTCGGTGCCGCCGTGGCGTTTGTACGGAACAAACGGAATTATTTCCTCGCACGGAAAACGGTTACCGGTTTTTTTGTGTGTGTGTGTGTGTGTGTCTTTTGTTCTGACTGTCGGAACCGGTAAATACATTCTGGAAAGGGTTACCGGTTTTTGTTTGTTTTGACTGGCGGAACAGGTAAATACATTCTGCAGACGGTTTTCGGTTTTTGTCTGACTGTCGGAAACCGGTAAATACATTCTGAAAATGGTTTTCGTTTTTTTGTCTGACTGTCGGAAACCGGTAAATACATTCTGAAAACGGTTACCGGTTTTTTTTGTTTTTTCGGAACCCGTAGATACATTCTGAAAACGGTTACCGGTTTTTTCTAACTGTCGGAAATCGGTAAATACATTCTGAAAACGGTTTTCGCTTTTTTGTCTGACTGTCGGAAACCGGTAAATACATTCTGAAAACGGTTACCGGTTTTTTGTTCTTTCGGAACCCGTAAATACATTGTGAAAACAGTTACCGGTTTTTTCTAACTGTCGGAAACCGGTAAATACATTCTGAAAACGGTTTTCGTTTTTTTTTTGTCTGACTGTCGGAAACCGGTAAATTACAGCCGGAACCGGTAAATACATTCTGAAAACGGTTACCGGTTTTTACCGGTTAACGTTGAGGGGGGGGGGGGTGAATCTCAAATGGTGTTCACGCGAATGCGCATGAAGTGTGCACGACGCGTTTGTTGACACGTGTACACACACTTGTACACACACTCACGTGTACACACACTCACACACACAGCATGCATTGTGTAGGGGAGCGGTGGTGCAGCGGTTAGTGCGCTGCGCTACGAACCTGGCGACCCGGGTTCGCTTCCCGCTCACGGCCACCACCACCGGTGACGATTATCTGAACCGGTCCTGGGCCTCCCCTAGGTCGACTCGGCCTCAAATGAGTGACCTGGTGCGGTGTGTAAACATCGCCACTGGGGAAACAAAGGCGGCCGGGCGTGGTGCTGGCCACCCACCCCCTCGTGTGCCGTTCCGGCCTTCACAGGTGCTCGCTAACAGCACTTGCCCCAACAGTCTGATAAAATGTCTTCATATCGAACATATACGCACAGTGTATATAGCCTGTAACAGACTGTTGGGGCAAGTGCTGTGAGCGAGGAGTGGCTACGAAGGCCCGCACGGCACATGAGGGGGTGGGTGGCCAGCACCACGCCCGACCGCCTTTGTCTCCCCAGTGACGATGTTTTTACACACCACCACGGCTACTCATTTGAGGCTGAGTCGACCCTGGGGGGAGGATCATCACCGGTGGTGGTGGTGGCCGTGAGAGGGAATCGAACTCGGGTTATTAGGTTCGAAGCGCAGCGTAGCGCTAACCGATGCCCCACCGCTCCCACGTGTACACTCACGCGTGCACAAAGCTCCATAAGGGTAGCGCTAACCGATGCACCACCCAGCACACAGCGTTCGATTCCCGAACACGGCTAACATCAGTGGCACGTTGTAGCAGCAACAGGGCCGACCGCCTACGCCTCTCCGCTGGCGATGACGGTTTTAAGGCCGAGTTGACCTAGAGGACGCCCAAGGACTCGCACACTGAGGCGCGTTCGCCCGCTGCACCCACCACCACCACCATCATCATCCCACCACTCCTCCTCCACCCACCCCCTCCACCCGTCCCTTATATAGCCCACTCCTCCTCATCATCCCATGCGTGACTTCTTTTCGTTCGCGTAGCTTGTGGAATGCAGCGGCAGCAGCATCAGCAGCAGCATCAGTAGCATCAGCAGCAGCATCAGTAGCAGCAGCATCAGCAGCAGCAGCATCCGCAGCTTCTACCGGGGCTCCAGCCACTAGGGGCAGCTCTACTCGCCACCTGGACTGGATTCTTTGACCCATTTTTCCCATAGGTAACGGCACACAGATAGACACTACCAACGCCAGCACCACACTCATCATCACTATCATCATCATCATCAGTCACCATCTATCACGATCATCATCATCAGATAGACACCACCACCACCACACTCATCATCACTATCACCATCATAAGTCACAATATCACGATCATCATCAGTCACCATCTATCACAATCATCATCATCAGATAGACACCACCACACCTCAGTCATCATCACTATCATCATCATCACGGGTTCATAAGAGCAGTGCGCCAACCGCTGCGCCACCGCTCCCCCCAACACATCACGGTACAGTTTTGAACGGTTTTATTACATATGTATGTGTGTGTACCCCAAATGTGGGCATTTGTTTCGGGATCTAAATGTGGAATATGATAATTATACAATGAACGCGTGCCCGGCGAGTGATGTAAATTGGTGGAGTGATGTAAATTGGTGGAGTGATGTAAATTGGTGGAGTGATGTAAATTGTTGGAGTGATGTAAATTGGTGGAGTGATGTAAATTGGTGGAGTGATGTAAAGTGGTGGAGTGATGTAAATTGTTGGAGTGATGTAAATTGTTGGAGTGATGTAAATTGGTGGAGTGATGTAAATTGGTGAAGTGATGTAAATTGGTGGAGTGATGTAAATTGCTGGCGTGATGTAAAGTGGTGGAGTGATGTAATTTCGTGGAGTGATGTAATTTCGTGGAGTGATGTAAATTCGAGCGGTGGTGCAGCAGTTGCGAGCCCCGGCGAGCCGAGTTCGATTCCCGCTCACGGCTACCAACAACCGCCGGTGACGATTATCCGAACCGGTCCTGGGCCTCCCGTAGGTCGACTCAGCGTTAAATGCGTACCCGGTGCGGTGTGCAGTAAACATCGCCGCTTGGGAGACAAAGGCGGCCGGGCGTGGTGCTTGCCACCCACCCCCACGCGTACCGTGCCAGCCTTCATAGAGTGCTGCTACTCGCTAGCAGCACTTGCCCCAACAGTCTGTCAAGGCTATGCTGGGGGAATCTTTGATGTAATATCGTAATGATGACGTTCAAGAAGGGCTAGGAAGCCGACTGATGCACCTTTACTTCATCACTCCGTCTCCTCCGTAGAAGTACCCTCCATTAATTGTGCCCACGGTGGCTAAGACATGTTAACCACATCGCCTGGTGTACAGGAGGTCGTGGGTTCGATCCCGACCCTGACGCCTGCTGGAAATTTGGAGTTTGCGTGTCTCTCTCTCTCATCATCATCATCACGGTGGCTAGGAGATGTTAACTACCTCGCCTGGTATGCAGGAGGTTCGTGGGTTCGATCCGAAATCCCGACGGGTTCGAATCCACGCGATCTCTCTCTTCCTGTCCGCGTGGATTTTTCTGCGGGTCCTCCGATTCGCCCCCTCCGCATTTCGATTCAACATCGCGACGCGTTTAGAGCCGCTGTCAACTTCCACGTGGCGATGATGATGGTGATGGTGGTGATGATGACGATCGTTTGTGATGGCTTCTGAAAAAAGATCTACGCGGTTCGATGGGAGTGGGGGGGGGGCATACACGTGGCATCAATAAAACCAAAAACATAGTTTCGTTTAAACCTACAGACACTGTCGAAGGGGTAGTGACGATCACAGTTATTGTGATGATGATGATGCTGATGCTGATATTGACTTGTATCGATCCACTGCTGGGATGAAAGTACCACACCAACGCCGTGTGAGGCTGTTTGACCATACTTCACCGCTGCCGGTGAGTGCGTGGTCGTCGGCCGCGTGAACTCGGGTCGCCAGCTGTGGGGGAGAGGGGGGAGGGGGTTTGCGTCGCTAATCGTTGCGCCACCGCTCCCTTCAAAACGCGTGCGACGATTTGCGCAGCTGCAGCGTTCGGCGATGCTTTTTGCTCGCGGTTTTCAGTTTCGTGTGTGAGGTATAATAACCCTGTGAGCCATGCGGCTGTCGACTCGGGTGCAAACGCAACGAAAAACATGGACAGGGAACATCTTAAAGTGACTGCGCGCAACAAGAAAAATCTAGGAAAAAATCCAGCAATGTCTTCCAGAAAAAGCGCCGTATTTCAACGCTGTGTGCAAAAAAAAAATCCCATTGGGATGTAAGTCAAACAATAACAACCATAAGACAATTTAGATTAAAGTTATCAGGCTAAGCCTGTACCACAACAAGCAAAACATGGCTAAACCAAAACGTTTTCGTAATCACCGAAATAAAGCTAGAAAAACAATGTGGCAGTGATCATAGGAACTGCGATTCAAATTGAACAATAAACGATATACGTGACATGTACGACCAAACTTTGCGGCCATAGCTGGCTGCATGAGTCACTCCATAACAGCAGGAGTATCAGTAGCAGAATCAAAATCTTTCAATACACCTTTAACATAACACCGTTCGTGTGCTCTGAAGAAGGGGCATTGCCTGAAACGTCGCCTGTTGTGTATTTATTGTTCATATCAGGCCACGGTTTTGTTGGCGAGCATAACGGGTTTTGTTCTATGCACGAGCACGGGTGGACAATGAAACGTTTGTAGATCAGCTCGAACACTCGTACAGATGATGTGTACCTGATCACAGACGATGCGTATATTTGTATTAATGTTATGGGTGTGTTTCACTCTATACGGACACTTTAAAGCAGTGGTTTTCTTAACTTTTACTGCGGCATTGCAACCGTTTGGTTCTCAATCTTAAAAAAAAAAATCTACAATGTTAGTATTCTTAGCTCTTTCGGTAAAGTCACGTTGAAGGGAAACAACGTGACTTTACCGAAAGAGCTAAGAATATGAATTACTGCAGTCACGAAAGCTTTAAATCAAAATTTTACAATGTTAGTGTTGATGAAACAAAGTAAGTTGTGCACTCACGTTTGTGTTTCCGATTATTTACCTTCTAACAAAACATTTGGCCGTGTCTCGAACCCACACCTCAGCAAGGGCATCTCGCTACCTATGATGCTGCTGCTGATGCTGATGCTACTGCTGGCGCTGCCGTTGCATTTCCAGGTGAAGATCTACTGGCACAGACGATGCATGTCATTATTCTGGACGTGTTGTCACTCAAGGCCGGAGCCATGGAGGCAACATTAAGGGGGGGACCAAATCTTACAGGGGGTCTGGGGGTGTCCCCCCCCCCCCCCCCCCCCAGAAAAAAAAATATAAATTTGAAAACTCATTTCCTGCCATTTCCTGCCTAAAATATATATAAAAAATCACTAACACGTAGGATGGACTTTTAATTTATTTTTTGCAATAATGTCTAATAGTGTTATTGGATTACGTTGTTCTGTCTGTTTTTTATATATATATTTTTTAATCTTTTCTTGTTTCATTGTATGCAATGGCAGAGATTAGAGATTAATAAAGTGCAACCATAACCACAATCATATAAACATAAATCTATTTTATTGCAATATATTGGGGGGGGGGGGCATTTTGAGCATATTTTAATATTGGGGGGGGGGGGGGATGTGTGTCCCCCCCAATATATATTATAATTACGGCTTTGGTGTCACTCTATACAGACATATTTAGACAGACACTTTCACAGATGTACACTGATGTAGGTAGGAGACATTCGCAGATTGTCTATTCGCATAGTCGGACACGTTAGTGGGACGGGCATCACTGCATATCGGAGGACAGACGCTTTAGTCCAGAATAGATGTTTGTGTTTTGGGGTTAGATCGCGTAAGTGTGTCTTAGAATCCGCCAGCACCCGACACAGCCAATTAGTAAAGGTTTGTCACGTTAGCGAAACTGGAGGATTTATCCACATCTCTGGTTGTTGCCTGATGATGCTAAGTTGTAATTACCGGCGAGACGTCACACGGTACTCTGATGGTAAATGTTGTAGTGGGTTTACTCTCTAACACACAACTGGTGTGGTGCTGTACTAGTATACTGCACTGAACACTTCACTATACACTACACTATACACTACTATAGACTACACTACTATAGACTACACTATACACTACACTATAATTGTAAATGTTGTAGTGGGTTTTGCTCTCCAACACACAACCGAAGTAGTGCTGTACTAGTATACTACATTTTGATTTAAAGCTTTCGTGACTGCAGTAAGTCATATTCTTAGCTCTTTCGGTAAAGTCACGTTGAAGGGAAACAATAAAATAATAAAATATATAGATAAAACAATAAAAATTCTCACGACGTTTCGACCATAACACAAACGGTCGTCATCGTTTGTGTTATGGTCGAAACGTCGTGAGAATTTTTATTGTTTTATATATATTTTATTATTTTATTGTTTCCCTTCAACGTGACTTTACCGAAAGAGCTAAGAATATAGTATACTACACTGAACACTACACTATACACTACACTATACACTACTATAGACTACACTACTATAGACTACACTATACACTACACTATAATTGTAAATGTTGTAGTGGGTTTACTCTCCAACACACAACCGGTGTGGTGCTGTACTAGTATACTGCACTGAACACTTCACTATACACGATACTATACACTACACTATACACTACTATACACTACACTATAATTGTAAATGTTGTAGTGGGTTTTACTCTCCAACACACAACCGGTGTGATGCTGTACTACTATACTGCACTGAACACTTCACTATACACGACACTATACACTACTATACACTACACTATAATTGTAAATGTTGTAGTGGGTTTTACTCTCCAACACACAACCGAAGTAGTGCTGTACTAGTATACTACATTTTGATTTAAAGCTTTCGTGACTGCAGTAATTCATATTCTTAGCTCTTTCGGTAAAGTCACGTTGAAGGGAAACAATAAAATAATATAACATATAAAACAATAAAAATTCTCACGACGTTTCGACCATAACACAAACGGTCATCATCGTTTGAGTTATGGTCGAAACGTCGTGAGAATTTTTATTGTTTTCATATGTATTTTATTATTTTATTGTTTCCCTTCAACGTGACTTTACCGAAAGAGCTAAGAATATAGTATACTACACTGAACACTACACTAT